AAAAAAAGATATAACGAAATAATGTTGACATTACAATAACTCTATAAACTTGTATCTCTTCTGAATAAACCCTCTTAGCCGATATCTTTTACGCTGTGTTAGCCTCAAAACCATGTAATAAATTCTTTTATTCCCAACAGCCCGAGCAAATGCGAGAGATCTGTGAGTATAGCAGGCAGTGGAAACAGTTTGAAATCTCACGAGTTTTATCTACATTTCTGAATATTTTAGTACACAATTGAGGCTATGACATCGTAAAAGAGATCGCGAAACTCATGAGGCTAAGCCTGCATTCCCACAACATCTAAAGTTTAAGCATTCAGCCTCAAATCGGAGGAAATGCAAATTTGTGGAGCTATTGTAAAAGACAACATTTTTTCGCGCTTTCGTTTAGTCTCGTGACTGTTTTCAACTAAAACAGCTATTGCTCGCTTTAACCCTTTAATTACCAATTATTTTTAACCGCTTTAAAGGTGTAAAGCATCAAAAACCGATTTCGGCACTGACTTCACGGTTGTCAAGGGAACTGATGCCGATTTACATAACCAAACACTCAAACTCTCGAGGGATGCCTGCTAAGTTTTTGCTCGTTTCTTTGAATAGCGAACAGCTCGTTCAAAACACAGCAAAACTTGGTTCTAAATTGTTAAAACTGAAGTCAAACGGAAGTACGAGAGCCCCTCAGAGGAGGGAAGCGATTTTGCGAAGAAAATGGCGATCGTCTGTTGTTTTGAAGCCGATGGCGCAATTAGAGTGAAATCGGCTCCCTGGCTGTCTTGTGTTTGGCTTCGCGAACTACCATGCTAGTTTCGGCAAGTTTGGACTTCTAAAAAAAGTAATCGGCTCAATATTTTGTGGGTAGGACCGAATGACTTGGCACCTAAAAAAATATTGGAAATGCAGAGTATGGGGTAGTCCCTGTCGAGAAAATACGCAGTTACCCATAAATCTGTGCGATTGTAGTCCAAGAAAACATGCGCGTCGGAGAATGGACCAAAAAAGCAGCTTTTTCTCGGCTTGCTCAATACAACAATAGGCATTATAAAATAACTTGGATACTACGCGCGTTCTGATTGGCCGACTTCCGTGTTTGTATCAGAGTATGTAAACATGGTTTTGACGTCACCATTTTTTGTCAAGTGCGATTCAAAACTAGAAGTAGAATAGGAAAAAAATCAGCTATTTATACAAAAATGTATCCGAAAATTTGGCAACAACTAGTTATGAGTATTCTGCATGAAGTTTTACTATTTCTTGTAGTTTTTGAGTGCATAGAATCTTCGGTATAAACTATAGATAAACAAAGCAACTTAAAACTGGAAGTGAAAAATCAAAAACGTAATAAGCTAAATGCATCTTATTATTGTAAATAACGTGTGAAAAGCAAGTTACATTTTTCTATGAAGCTAAAAATTGAGRAATTTATGAGTATTTTGCATTTTATTGAGATACTACTTAAGAAAATTACTACAAGAATATGTCGATTTGCGCTTGAGAATCGAGATTTCTTTCAGTTCAACGATTGTTCATAATGAGTCTCTTTATAAATTCGTTACATACAAGTACACGATAAACAAGCTACTAGTTTAACCTAAAAATATGAATACCAGCTTATTCAGTTTATTATGTAAACGTAATTTATCCGACCAAGGTCTTTATTTGTAGCTTTGGGAATATTTTCGTACTGTTTGTTGTCATTGCAGTTCTTGCATCGCTCGCATAAAATTATCTTCAGTTTGATATTGTTACCAGATACCAGTTCAATAAAAAATCTCTATGAACATGAATTCCACCTTCTTATCCATGAAACGGAGTTCATACGACTAATGCTTTCATGTACTATTTGTGGCTTTGTGAATTTTTTCGTCGGTGATGCTGAAGTGCCGGCACGTCGAAGCGGCTAATCAAACATCATTTAAAGTGTCAAAACAAAGTCTTTCAGCAAGTACATATATTCCTGCAGTTTTTCAAAAATCTCATCTTGATATCATTTCCATACCAATTCTGAAAGGAAACGTAAAATAAAGCTTTACTCAAATTTACTTCAAATCAGTGAATCGACGAAGATGTAAATGTTTTCATCCAGCGAAAGCAGTACACATTCCGTTGCTGGTTTTACCTACCTTTTTCTAATTTTTTTGCGTCCAGTTGACCTTTTGACAGACATGCACCCTTTCTCCTCAAAGAACACGTAGTTTATGATTCATCTAAGGTCACTAAAAAAGCAATTTTGATGTACAAAGAAAGAAAGTCGCCCGCCGTCGTCCGCCATTTTTTTCACATTTTGTCAAACCTGCCAACTTCGTCTTTCGTTAAAACGTGAACTGTAATTGGCTGGTTGAAAAAGCCATTGAAATGTTTGAGGTAAGGAGAAACCTAGTTTTGATCACAAAAATTATACTCGAATTCTAAAGTTTTTAAAGCCATATTTTAGAAAAAAGAGTTATTTTATAAAAGCAATAGATAACTTTTTCCCTGTGTTTACATAGCCTGATGTAAACACTCGGGCAGGTTGGGAGAATTCTCGATGATTATGCAAACCTCGACTTCGTCTCGGGTTTGCATAACCGTCTCGAATTCTCCCAACCTACCCTCGTGTTTGCATCAGGTTATGTAAACACGGAAAAAGTTATCTATTACTTAAATAGACTGAACAATGTAAATTGAAAATGCCAAATTTCCAGAAAAAGTTGAGTTTCGGTATGAATGTAAGGATTTTGAGCGGTAGAACTGGAAAGAAATTAGGACATTCTCTAGTGTCCTTGTCTAACTTGTAAGCGTTTGCAGCTCAAATCTCACCAAAACAAAAGTGACTGTAATCGTCACGAAAAAGAAGCAGAAGTCTTAGTTTAGAATTTAGTAGGCAGGTAATTCCCTCAACAACACAACTAATACATTTGTTAGCACCTTGGTCACTAAACAGAGAAAAAGGAATTTATTTTTAAAAAGAGTGGTCGATTCATGGGTCGATTATTCTGAAAAATGTGTACGATTGGTAGTCAAAGGGTTAAACGGGGAAAAAGACGTATTAAACTAAATCCTCTCTTCTGCCTAGACAAAGAATGAAGAGTGAATACTCTTTTGACTTACTTGTTTCTCCAGTCCATACAATACCAAAAAGGAACATATTCAAGATTATAAATATCAGAGAATGTGAAAATTTCTGTTTCAATGTGGTAGTCATTTTCTCCAGAGATTGTTTGTTTGTGAGGTTTTGATCTTTGAAATTGTCAGCAATCACTATCAAAACGACTTTGGAAGGAAAGTCACTCAATGCGACCGACAAATTCACACAATAGGAATGATGATTTGTGTTCCTGTGTCTTATGTTTGTTAGTGGCTAATTAGATATACAACCGACATGCCTCAGAAATATATGGTTAAAAGAACTGAATCGATTCGCTGAAGGGAATCAATCGTTAAAGCCTAGCTGTCTAAAACATGTTTCGCTTTGATCTATATTGAAATACAAAATTACAGTATAATTATCMCGAAATCATATCTCAGTGAAATTTGGCCTTTCGAGCAAGCCAAGGATTACTGCGGATACCAAGTTATGGGGCAATATAACTCCATTTACAGAYAATTCGGTATCGAGGACACTGGTTGACTGTGGGCGCTTTTGATACTTGCTTTGGTTTCATACGTCGAATTTCATTCTGTTCATATCCTTCCTTGAAATTACATATCACTCTTTTCATTTCATTCATTATCGTAATATATTCTTAATAAGTGAAATATGGCGTACGAATAGAGGATTACTAGGACTTTTAAGGGCTAAACTCCTAACATGGGTGCAGTGATGCCCAAGTGTTGAAAACGCTGGTCTATCACCGGCCAGGAACTATATGTGGTTTGAGTTTTACACTGGTTCTCTTCATTGCTCCGAACGTTTCCCTCCAGGTATGCTGGTTTTCCTCCTTCAGACGAAAAAACTAGCTATGAGGAGTATCGTGTATTAAAAACATTCAATGTAGTGGTCGTGACTGCAGCGATGATGCATAACAATTAGACAATTAGCTGGCTTCGAAAACTCTCTTCTCATTTATATATGAAAAGACGAATACAGAAAAATAGAAGTAAGTGTTGGAGTAAATTGATGCCATTGATCGGAAAGCCAGAACTAAAAATAACTAAAAACCACAATCAAAACACAACATCCATTTAACTTTAAAAATAGACATATATCAACTTTGGTATTATAGAACAGCATGCAGCATGTAAATAGTATAGGAAATAGCGGTTCTGCATCGGGTGGGTCGGGTGGACTGTGGATCCACCCTGATGACATCACGTTAACTACTGACCACGTGACGTCACTGATTTCGTCATATCTAATTTTAGATACTTGAGTGGGACGTCATATCTATTTTTAGAAATGAGAATCCTCAGATATGTCCAGATGACGTCATTTCTATTTTCGTTTAGAGTGAACCTTTTTTATAAATCCAANNTTTGTCTAATAACTCTCAGTACTGTGATAAAAAAAGGAATTTTTTTTTTTTTTTAAATACGGAATTCACTTGAACAACGTTTAAAAGTTTTAAAAATTTTTTTTTAATGTTAAATAAAAAAAATAAAAATCTTTTTTTTAACCACTTTTTTTTTTTAAAAAAATAGAAAAAGTTTTGTTGAATTAATTTTAGAATCAATTTTTTTTTGTCTAATAACTTTCAGTACTGTGATAAAAAATGATTTTTTTTTTTTTTTTTACAAAGTTTAAAAGTTTTAGAAATTTTAAAATTAAAAAAATATTTTTTTTTCTAACTATTTTTGTGAAAAAAAAAATATTTTTGACATTCAATTTTTTTTTTACGTTCTCTCATCGGGACAAGCAGGAAAAGCAGGAGCTGTGTTTTTTTTTTAGAGGCTCCTCTCGTGAAATATCCCGCTGACCCTACATTCCCTTTTTTTTTGTTTTTGTCTTGCTCGTCCTGAATATATATGAACACAGTGGTTTTTTTTTTTCATTTGAAGACAGAGTGTCAAGCAGTCAACATGGTTAAAAGTTTTTTTTTCGATTGCATGGTTCCTGGATGTGGTGCAAAGTATCTCGTGAATTTTTTTTTTCACCTTTCTGATGTACATGGACTAAATTCTGTTGAAAGACATTTTTTTTTCCAAGAAGCCAAACTACAACCTCGTGTAAAAATTGTTGTTTATTTTTTTTTAAACGCACATGACGACTGGAAAATGCATGGTGGGCATAATGATTTTTTTTTAATCTACCAACCCTCTCTACCCCGACAAAAAGAATTCTTAAATTTTTTTTTTTATCAATCCTCTGTACCAAGAACGAGCCAAGAAAAACATAATTTTTTTTTGTGCAACCGTGAAAACATTGAAAAAGAAAGAAGAATACTAAATTTTTTTTTGAGAGGAAAGGCAATTTGATCAAAAAGAAATCAGAGTTTTTTTTTTTTTTTAAAACATCGACATAGGAAACACAGAATACTACGAGTACAGAATTTTTTTTTCAAACATTTTAATATAATGGATATTCATCGTATGAGGAAGTATTTTTTTTTATTAAAGAGTGCTCAATACACATAAAGTGTAGAGCTAGTTATTTTTTTTTTATCAAAGAGGCAAGATTTTGCTGTAACTCCGAGTTTCGTGCTTTTTTTTTTACTCGGAGTTACAGCAAAATCTTGCCTCTTTGATATCATATATTTTTTTTTGATATTCATGTAATTTGGAACCTTATAAAATCTTGTGCACATTTTTTTTTTCTGTGATTTCATGATATGAAACAAGATTGTTATTCGAAAATATTTTTTTTTATAAGAAATGGTTGTAAAGTTGCCAAAAGAGTTTTTGAATTTTTTTTTTTTATTGTCTTAGTGGGAGGGTCGTACGGGAAAATATTTGGCTCGTTTTTTTTTCGTACGGAACGAGCGCAGCGAGGTCCGTACAAATGACCGAGATTTTTTTTTTTTTCCGTACGGCCCGACCTAACTCAGTCAATAAGCATTGTATTTTTTTTTAGCGTTTTTAATGTAAAAAAATAAATAAAAGCGCTCGGAACTTTTTTTTTTGAAAATACGGGTTTGTACGGACCTGTCGCGAAAAGGCGTACTTTTTTTTTTACGTGACCATTTTCCAAAGGTTTCAGTGAGAGCGCGCGTAGGTTTTTTTTTCGGGTCATATGATAATAAAAATTATTTGATGTATTGTTATGTTTTTTTTTTACTAGTTTGTGTGAACTGTTAATTATCCGTGATTAAAAAGTGTTTTTTTTTTTACAGCTTTGTATTGAAAACATGATGTGCTCCTTGTAAAAAGTTTTGGTTCTTTAGCTTTTTTGTAGCTAAAATTTAATGGTTAACATGAAGTTTTTTTTTTTTTCAAGTTTAAAGTTGTTTTTGGATGTCAACCATAATAAATTTTTTTTTTTTGTAGATTTGTAATGTATTCTATACTATAAAAAGAATTTTTTTTTTTTTTTGATGATGAACAAAAGAAGATTTAGATAATTAATTTCAATCACCACAAATATTCACTCCATAAAATAGAACGTATTCGCTAGCCTCCTCCACAGGCAACTCTTTTTTCCTCCTTTGGGCTTCCTTTGTAACGGTCATTTTGGCCGTTAGGGACTAGTGACGAGATAGCAAAAATAAAAAGAGGAGGAGTTGCCATTTTTTTTTCCCCTTTTCTCGCCCCCATTCTCCCTCTTTTGACTCCTCAAATTTTTTTTTAGGCCGTGATTCTTAGTGATGCCTGCGGAGGAGGCTACGTATTCGCATATAACCCACTTTTTAAATGCTAATGAGTTTTGCTAATATTCTAATGAGATTGGCACAAGAAACAAAAGAGCAAAAACATGCTTGAGTGATTTCAAATTTTTTTTTTTTTTAGCTCAGTTCAATAAATACACAATTTCAAACGGAAACTTTTTTTTTATTAAAATAAACAATTTCAACAGTTATTGGCTACAAGATTGATTTTTTTTTATTTTGAATGCCAACAGATCGTCTGTTTTAAGCGGTTCATAATGTTGATTTAAATTGTTTTAAATAAATTGGGCGCATGGGAAGAATTATAAAACAAGCATTGCAGAATTGCACAACCCGTCGATACTAGAATCAAAACCAATTTTTTTTTTTGAGGTCCGTTTTAGACGTCGACCTTTTGCCGCGTCTAATCTATTTTTTTTTATGTAGTTTACGAGAAGTTGAGATAGCTGTATARCTTAAATATTTTTTTTTCCTTTTGAA